AAGTCGATTCCAAAAATGGCGTCTTAATCAATAAACGTATTTGCTTTGACGCTCCCAAACGTCTGTTTTATGACCTTGCCACCACATGAAAGCTTCATACAAATTACGACTCCACAGGTCGTAATAGGCGGTCCACTTATATTAATTAACTTAACTGTTGTTTTGTTTTTGTCATGCATTTTGTTTTTTTTTTACGTGCAATATGTCCCGCGTTACCACAAGCGTAACACAGATATTCTGCTGCTTTTCGGCTCTGGTCTTTTTTATTGTGGTTTTCATTCGACTCGTTTTCTCCGAAAGTTCTTCCACCTGTCTTACAAGCTTCTCTATAGTTTTTCTCAAATTGCCTTCCTTGTGCTCACCTGCTCCTTACTGTTGGTTACATCCTCCTCAGTTTTTGCGGTGGTTTCTGTCATATTAACGTAACATGTGCTCATCTTTGCTCCACTCATTAGCGTTCTCTGCCAGTTCAGCTGCTTCATTAAACGATACGGGTTGATCTTGTACTGGAGTGAGTACTTCACGACGTAAACGAATATCTAGCCCCCTAATAAATTGATCCAGAAGTAGTTTTCCTTTGTTAGGTTCAAGATGTGGATTAGCCTCGATCACTTGGTCAACCGCTTCGCATAGGCAAACGCGGAACTCCCATAGATCTTCTTTCTGTTTCCTAGTACCTGTATATTGTCTTAAAGCCTCTCCGCCATCCTTCACGCATTGTTAAAATTTTCTAATGATTCTTTCCTTTATTTTATCATAGTGTTCTCCATACACAGCCCATGCCTCATTAAGAAAAGTTAGGGTTTCCCTTTTAACCTAGCACTGGCTATTGTAAGGTATCCGACTAGAAAGTTGTATTACCTTACAATAGCCAGTACTAGTTCCTCCATGCGGCTAGCTTAGCAACGTTTTCAAAAAAATTCTCTAATCGAAATCATGTCTGGTGGTGTCCCTGTGAATGTGGGGCCATTCCGCGATGCCCGGCAATTAATGTAGACACATCGCCGACTGTTCTGCTGAACTAACGTGGGTTTCGGATTCCATTTTCGTTGAGTGCGCTTTCACAACCTGAACTATTATAACTTGGCGTGAAAATGGAATCTTGAGAGCATATCCTGTCGCGAACACCAATTATGTGAGGAAGTATTCGAACTTTAGAGTATTTCCCGTACAGGAACAAAACAAAAAGATACTTCAAAGAAATAAATCACACACTCTATGACTCCAATGCAAGAAACTTAATGTTTATTTTAGTCCTTCCGATCACTTCTCTGTCTTTTTATTATAAAAGACACTAAAACAAAGAAAACAACACAAAAAAAACTCGCGACTCTCTCGTCTACACATCTTTCCTTTCTTTCTTCCCAAAAAGTCCTTCTTCTTCCTTTGAGCATGCGCGATTTCCCTCTCTCCCTCCTTGATCCGGGTTTTTTGGTTGTCATGGAGAATGTCCATCCCTTCTTTACCCAGTGGCCCACCCAAGGGGCTAGTTACGAGCCGATTACGCAACAGAACATGTGGTCTTCAGACCACAATTTTATATATTTTATGTTCTAAATTACAATCTACTGTAATGTATACAATACTTTTTATTAAAATAAAGTAGATTTGTATAATTAAGGAGTATGTTATATACCACATATTATAAATATTAAACTATATCAACACCGGTACTCATATTAATTTATGTATACTGATTTTTTTATTTAAATTTTAAGCAATTTGGGCTGTTTTATGAATGAATATATCATCTCCGAATATAAATGAGAAATTTTACATATATAGATGATTGTTAATACAGTACTTCACTTACCTCACATAAATAAACTGATGTCTGTTGCTTTCCAGTTTTGTCTCTTCACTTTTATTTCCCATGTTTACAATGTGCAGGATCTTTCAGAAAAACTTTCATAAAAAATCCTTTGTCGTTGCGATTTGTGCAGCCGATTTCGTTCCAATCTCTCTAACACGTTGTTTGAAAAAATAATGGCTACTTAAGGCCACGTAATCACAAACTGCCAATAGAAAAGAGTTCCTTTATGGCCACTTTCTCATTATAGGTTCTCTAAGTCACAGCCAAGGTCTATAAACATAAGACACGATACCGTGATGCATCGCGGCAGTCGCCATGTTGGGGCTCTTTTGGTGTGTATGGTGTTTCTAGACCGAAACTGATTGTTTCTTAGAACTGATTGAATTAGTTTTCAAAAATGTTTATATTAATTAAATTATTATTTAATTAATATAAACATTTGCATTAATATAAACATTGATTACTTGCTTAGAAGACTACAGAAAATTATTTCCTTCTTCTAGTTGATATTTTCTTTTATCAGGAACAATATCCATACAAGATTGCTTGAATATATTCAATAAGAAAAATTGAACTGAAATTTAATGCATATTTTGTAATTATTATTTCTTTTATAAATTCTGATACAAATAATGCTATTTGCTGCATGTACTGTCATTCAGTGTGAACATGTTGCATTTTCTGAGGTAACAGTTTTAGGGAAATTGGAAAATACAGTATCAGATTACTAATAGAGATTTCAATATTTTGTTGTTAGATGAAATCAAAAATCCGAAAACTCGACCCTCTATAACCAGGCAGTCCGGATAACTCAGCCACACCCTGGCAGGACGAAAAAACCCCCTAGTTAATTTTCATTATAGACAACTTTATGCCTCATAAAGCATTTTTCTGAAATCTATCTTATCAGGTAAATTACTGTATACTGAGTATTCATTAACTTTCATTTTTATGTAGTAAAAGTAGTACTTTATGAAGGCTTTATGCCTTCACAAAGTACGTACTTTTCTTTTGTTTAAGGGTATTTGGGCAGTTTATTCTCTGTTGTATTCTCAAGCAAACAATACATACAAGTACAGTACAGTATTTTCTGAGGAAACACTCTTACTTATTGTTTTTTAACCCCATTTTCGATAACCCGGCATTTTCACAAACTCGGTCACTCTTCGGTCTACATTAGGCCGAATTTTCGAGACTACTGTATATAAACTGCTTTAATATTTAACACATATTCTAAAATGTTTGCAGTATGCATTATTAAAGTGGTTTTAATTAACCCTGTTTAAATTACATTAAAACATGGTTCTCAGATCAGTATTAGTCTATAGACTGTTTGTGGTAAAGTTTTAGTTTTCTGACAGGGTATATGACAACATGATGTAGCTTATTAATTAAACAGAATAAATATTATAATATGTTGTTTGTGGACTGAAAACACACTTTAAAATTTTAAATAAAATACAAGTATAGAAATTGAAATTAAATCTTTGAGTTATTTAAATTAATATTTTATAATAATTGAGAGTAATGTAATAGTCAAATTGCATATTCTAATAAATAATCGTTGCTTAATAATCATTTTATTATAAAAATAAACAATGAATAAAGTTAAAGTTTAATAAATTTCTATTTGCTGGTATTGTCTACTGTTTAATAAATTTTTGTCAATATATTTATTTACTTCTCTATAAAAATAATTAAACTTAGTTTATATGCGTAACTTTATTTAGGAACCCTCTTATTATCTCTTGAAAATATTTTCGAAGATTTACTTTACATAATACGTAAAGTTTGTGAGAATTGTTTTCTTTTCTCTTCATGTAATTTTAATTTATAAAAATGTTTAATCTGACCTCCAATTGTCTACTGTTTAATAAATTTTTATAAATATATTTATTTAATTCTCTATAAAAATAATTAAACTTAGTTTATATGCGTAACTTTATTTAGGAACCCTCTTATTATCTCTTGAAAATATTTTCGAAGATTTACTTTACATAATACGTAAAGTTTGTGAGAATTGTTTTCTTTTCTCTTCATGTAATTTTAATTTATAAAAATGTTTAATCTGACCTCCAGTTTGCAGTTTGTGTAATGTAAAAGTGCATGTAAATATAGAAAATTAAATATACAAATTTTAACAAATATCTCTAAAATTCTCTAATTTTGCATTTCAGAATTAAATAAATTTATCCTAGTACTTTATTATACGAACCATTGGCATAGCTTTTTATTTTGAAACCTATTTAGTTAAAGCCTTTAATTATATATACCTTTGGATATCGAATTTTTACAATTCGGCGCTGAACACCAAACCATTTTTAAATATAACAAGAAATCCAACTAATTGAGATCGAAAGAAATAACAATCAGCTTCGCCCTAGAAACACTATACACACCAAAAGAGTTCAACGTGGCGACTGCCGCGATGCATCATGGTATCGTGTCTTGACCATATGTTTATAGACATTGGTCACAGTCACTTTATGTAGTATATTCTAGCTCGTTGACAATTTATATACTCGAATAGATTTAGAATATCGAAAATAGAAACTGAAACAAAATATTTATGAATGGTCTATAATAGTTCTTATATGTTTTTCCTGTTAATAATGAACTCTAAAAACACATTTAACAACTTCTCGGAATGATCGTTGCGTAAAGTAAGGACGAGTTTAGAGATAACACTTGCCATTTCACAGTATTTATTAAAATATTGCCGATAATAAACGTATTGCTTTAACATAAAATATCTACGAAGTATTATTGTTCTTGGACTTTTGTCTGTGAGTTCTAAGGACTTTTTTCAAATCCATTGTGGATTCAAACAGACTCACAATAGGGATAGTAAGGAACGGGGCCCGACATATCCAGCACAGGTACGAAAAATTCCTGGGTTATTTCGATCGGCCATATTAGATTCCGAGTCACTCAGAACACTAGAATAACCTTTAACCGACTCGACCATCCGGTCGCCTTTAATTGCCCATTAAATTTAATGCACATCTGTTCGCTATTAAACATATTTTCCAGATACACGTTTAATATTCTCGAGATAAGATATCCGTTTTAGCCTAAAACAGGATAAAATAGAATTACATTACAAAAGTAGATAATTTATTTGAATTAGCAAAATATATAATTGCAGTGTTGTGTCGTCTTGTGAAAAATGAATGACCATTTCGGATGCAATAAAAAAAATTTTATTTATCTGATAAAATATTAATTAAAATTGTCGTTAAATTCAATATATTTGATAACGATTGTTTTAGAATTAGTCATACACAAATTCTTCTTTTTACATTTACTGATTATACATTGAAAGCTTTAATAAATTGCTTTTAAGCTCCTGGTTTTTTCTGACAGATTCCTCTTGAATTGATAAGATATATACCACTATCTTCTCCTTCTGGGGGAGAGGATTTCACACATTCTAGATTTTTTCCGCATATACCAGCAATATTATATGGTCCACCGCATCTATCACCGAGTCCCTATAGCATATAAAGATATATTTACCTGCGAATAATTAAATATCTATTTACCTTCCATTATTTTTCTTACCTTTGCGCATATATAACAGCATGCACAACCGTATTTAGTAATTCCAACTCCAGGGCAATCCTCCTCTGTTTTATCCACGCAATCTACTTCAGAACAGGAATTACATTTTAGCGACATTCCCACTCTTTAAAAAATAAAACGTTTCTCTATTGTCAGTTACTTAAAAACATGTAAAAAGTTTATGAAATATTAAGAAATGCTTCTTACCTAAGAAAACAAAATGTAATTATCAAGACGGTAACCAATCGAGGATCCATTTTGCAACTGCGAAAGCGTGATGTAAGGGCTACGATGAGGAGAAATTATATTCTCGTCTTCTTGCAGGAAGTCTTCCTAATGGAAAGGATGTTTCGTCACTCACAGATATAACAAGGTCAATTTAACAAGTTTAAATATTTCTAAATGTCAAACAAGTTTATCAAAATTTCTGAAAATATTACGTGCTTCTAGTAAAGAATTAACGATTTATATTAAATAAAATTCGGGTTGTTTACGGCATAGGATATTTTTGTACAATTTAAATAGCAAATTACTGCAATCAAATAAATCCTCTCGTTCTAAATTCCATATTTATTGATAAATATTTTTCACTTTTATTATTTAATTAAATATTCGATTTCAATTTCATATTAAATGAGTAATATATGTTTTCATATTGAGGAATTTATTTTGTATTTTACATAAATATTTATTTATTAATTTATACATTTATTTATTTTACTTTTTCCGTTCTGTGAGCACTGACGGCCTTTTTATCAATCTCATCGTGGGTTCGGTTTACTTAGTTACCGCAAAACGACATATGCCAATGAGGATAATGCCTCCCAAGAGGTCTTTTATGAAAAACTGGCCCCTATTTAGGTGTTACTAACGTAAAGAAAGCCCAGTAAACTCTGTGAGATTATAGAAAGTACGAACGAGTCGACACGGAGAAATTTAGTGATTTCTTCGATGGGACAAATCGATAACAAGCGTGCTTGATGGAGCAGACGCTTAGAAGGGGGAATCCACTGATCTCAGTACGGATTAGACAAAGACAACCATCCAGATTAACAAGATAACCCTTTAATTTTCCTGAGAAGATACAGTACTTCTAGGGAAACTCACAGGAACGTACGGAGCCCGACAATCCAATCTACCGAATAACGTTAACACACAGTTCTCCCGACAATTATACTGCTCAGATTTCCCGTAACGTGCGGACATAAAACGTACCGATAAATGAGTTTGAAGTGTACCTCTTCCTTTACTTCGCAGCGGACAGAAAACAGTTCGAAATTCAAAATCTCCACGCTGACCTGGTTTCACAGTCTTTACTTTCCGGCTTCCCGACTATTTTCACACACCACTCTGCTTCTCTTCTCTTCTTTATTCCTGAGCTACTTCCGTCCTTAACTTCTCCCCGAGACACACTCTTCAATAAATCTCCCCACTCCCCGTTACACACACTGTTTTACACATACCACCCCTACCCCGACGCACCCGAGTTTTTTAACCTAGGAGTATGCCATCGAGTCGGACCCACTACGTGGCGAAGGAGAGGCAGGAAAAGACGTAAGGCACAACTCCACGTGACCGGCTAGTTAACCAGGCGCGAACCCACGACCAATTACCAGTGTTTATCCACCCGGCCACTGGTGTGCTCGTGGGTTCGGAAAGTCCACAATAGGAAGTTCGAATGGCGACGGACGGGACTCGTATATCTGGTACAGACCACAGTCTCAAAATATTTCTAGGTTTTCCGTATTCGATCCTGTTTCCCTCAAAGCGGAAGGCTATACGTAAGGCACAACTCCACGTGACCGGGCTATTAACCGCCTCGGCAGCCCATTAAGAGTAGCCAAGAGGATAAAACCACTCAACACTGGTAGTTGGTTGTGGGTTTGCGCTTCACCAACGGACTTTTCCGGATTTTTTTACCTATCTAACACCTAAATAAGAGACAGTTTCCCATAAGTCCTCTTGGAAGGCATCCTCTCTTTGCAGACCGCCTATGCGTTGCGTTGCCGAATCCTATCAATCCTACAATCTTCAACCGTCTTCGCCGACTACATTTTAGATAGGTTAATTAAGGTAAAAATAATTTGTGGGGGCAGCCATATTAACTTTATCCTTCAGTGCTTCTGAACCTCGCTGCCCTAGCGAAATACATAGGAAATAGCTTAACTGCCTTTTAGCGAAGCGACTTAACTAGGAAATGTGCCCATAATGTCTTCGGATAAAAAGAATATCGGGCATATTATGCTTGAGTTTTGAAAAGGATATAACGCCATATAAACAGTACAGAAAAAAATGTAATGTGTATGGAGAAGATGTTCCTAAACTTCGAACGTGTCAAATGTGGTTTAAAAGTTCTATTTGGGATATTTTAAACTAAAAGATATAAAACGTACGGGGCTCCTAAAAGCTCTTGACATAAAAAGACTGCAGGAATAAATTGTTAAAAATCGACGACTAACGCACATTATAGTAGCCTATATATAACCAAACACACCAAAAATAAACCAAAAAAGCATTGAAANAGCTTTTAGGAGCCCCGTACGTTTTATATCTTTTAGTTTAAAATATCCCAAACGGAACTTTTAAACCACATTTGACACGTTCGAAGTTTAGGAACATCTTCTCCATACACATTAGACCAGGAACACACATGCGTAAAATTCGGCTTAAACGTAAAAATTTTTTTGAAATTTTGGCTGAAACAGAACTGAAAATAGAGTAGAGCATGTCTCTACATTTACTGTACTATGTGTGCGAGATTTTGAATAAATGGTCGGTAGTAATTGATCACTCCGAGGAATGCTCTAACGTCTTTTGTGCGAGATGGTACGACCGTTATCGCTTTGACGTTCTCAGGGTCAGGTTTGATCCCCTTTCCATTTATGATGTGGCCTAGGTATCTTATTTCAGGGACACAAAATTTACACTTCTCTGGATTCGATTTCAATTCTGCTTTATCTATGGCGCCCATCACTTTATGGATGAGTGATATATGTTCGTCTAAGTCGCTGGAGAATAGGACAACGTCGCCTTGGAAGACAAAGCACGAATGTCTTATGAAACGAGCCAAGACGCAATTCATTACACTCTGGAACTAACGACCACTGTTTTTTTCCGCCCTGGGGCATGCGACACAGTTGATATTTCCCCCAGGGGGTGGAGAAAGCAATGACCTCCCTTTTCTCCTTCTTGATGAGGATCTGGAAGTACCCCGAGCTCAAATCAAGGACTGAGAACACCTTACTTCCTCTGAATTGTATCAGAATATCATCAACCCTCATCATAGGGAAGTCCTGACTAATGGTTACGTCATTTACCCGTCGTAGGTCCAACGTAACTCTAATGTCTCCATCATCTTTATTTACGATGTGTATGGGCGAGTTTCAAGGAGAATTACTCTCTTCTATGATTCCAGCATCCAGGTAGGAGTTTATTTTTTCTTTCAACTTGGGAAGCATAATGTGGAGTATCCTATATTGCCGGGTGTTTATCGGTCTTGACTCGGAAAGCTCGATATCATGGCAAAATTTGATGTTCCTGTTAGGTTTTCAAGCTTTGAGGAGAAGCAAGAAGAGAAGGTATGTATCAAGTTAAACATTTTACTTTGGTGAGAAGGAGGGATATGATCTGCCTTTATTCCCTTAGGAATTGTACTTGTGGCATGACTCATCACTGTGAGCGTACACTCGATACTTTTGTTCTCCTGTGCCCATGCGCTAATTTTATATAACAATTTGCATATCACTTCGGACTTTCGCAGGAAGTCGATTCCAAAAATGGCGTCTTAATCAATAAACGTATTTGCTTTGACGCTCCCAAACGTCTGTTTTATGACCTTGCCACCACATGAAAGCTTCATACAAATTACGACTCCACAGGTCGTAATAGGCGGTCCACTTATATTAATTAACTTAACTGTTGTTTTGTTTTTGTCATGCATTTTGTTTTTTTTTTTACGTGCAATATGTCCCGCGTTACCACAAGCGTAACACAGATATTCTGCTGCTTTTCGGCTCTGGTCTTTTTTATTGTGGTTTTCATTCGACTCGTTTTCTCCGAAAGTTCTTCCACCTGTCTTACAAGCTTCTCTATAGTTTTTCTCAAATTGCCTTCCTTGTGCTCACCTGCTCCTTACTGTTGGTTACATCCTCCTCAGTTTTTGCGGTGGTTTCTGTCATATTAACGTAACATGTGCTCATCTTTGCTCCACTCATTAGCGTTCTCTGCCAGTTCAGCTGCTTCATTAAACGATACGGGTTGATCTTGTACTGGAGTGAGTACTTCACGACGTAAACGAATATCTAGCCCCCTAATAAATTGATCCAGAAGTAGTTTTCCTTTGTTAGGTTCAAGATGTGGATTAGCCTCGATCACTTGGTCAACCGCTTCGCATAGGCAAACGCGAAACTCCCATAGATCTTCTTTCTGTTTCCTAGTACCTGTATATTGTCTTAAAGCCTCTCCGCCATCCTTCACGCATTGTTAAAATTTTCTAATGATTCTTTCCTTTATTTTATCATAGTGTTCTCCATACACAGCCCATGCCTCATTAAGAAAAGTTAGGGTTTCCCTTTTAACCTAGCACTGGCTATTGTAAGGTATCCGACTAGAAAGTTGTATTACCTTACAATAGCCAGTACTAGTTCCTCCATGCGGCTAGCTTAGCAACGTTTTCAAAAAAATTCTCTAATCGAAATCATGTCTGGTGGTGTCCCTGTGAATGTGGGGCCATTCCGCGATGCCCGGCAATTAATGTAGACACATCGCCGACTGTTCTGCTGAACTAACGTGGGTTTCGGATTCCATTTTCGTTGAGTGCGTTTTCACAACCTGAACTATTATAACTTGACGTGAAAATGGAATCTTGAGAGCATATCCTGTCGCGAACACCAATTATGTGAGGAAGTATTCGAACTTTAGAGTATTTCCCGTACAGGAACAAAACAAAAAGATACTTCAAAGAAATAAATCACACACTCTATGACTCCAATGCAAGAAACTTAATGTTTATTTTAGTCCTTCCGATCACTTCTCTGTCTTTTTATTATAAAAGACACTAAAACAAAGAAAACAACACAAAAAAAACTCGCGACTCTCTCGTCTACACATCTTTCCTTTCTTTCTTCCCAAAAAGTCCTTCTTCTTCCTTTGAGCATGCGCGATCTCCCTCTCTCCCTCCTTGATCCGGGTTTTTTGGTTGTCATGGAGAATGTCCATCCCTTCTTTACCCAGTGGCCCACCCAAGGGGCTAGTTACGAGCCGATTACGCAACAGAACATGTGGTCTTCAGACCACAATTTTATATATTTTATGTTCTAAATTACAATCTACTGTAATGTATACAATACTTTTTATTAAAA